CCGTAACACCGAAAGCCTCGGTCCATCGGGGCTGCACTTCTTCGTATTCAGGAGACCTCGGGTTCATGTCTCAATTCTGACTGAAGTTTTTCATGGTGTTTCTTACTCCCTTCGGGCAAATGCCGGGACAATACGGTAAATAAGTAAATGCCTGTAACCCCTTCAACAGTATGGAATTGCAGGTGTCATGCGAAGCCAGGCTGCCACCTGCTCACGCTGGTTCATCGCTCGCGTGTTTCTTATACCCTGAAGATGGAGACGATACGTTCCTCCGAAACGTCTGTTAACAGAATATTTACACGGCGTCCCATCCCAGAAGACGGCATTCTTCATAGTCACTGCCGTGAAAACCTCAAATATTACCCAGCATAATTTATATATACTTCTTTGTTTAAGGTCTCCTGCTTTTTGAAATGACATTATTTTCTCGTGGGCTTAAGAATCTTTCCAGTTCACAAACTTGGTTAAAAGTGTCATAACTTAGAGTTGTATTATTATGAAAGTTTATTAATTTAATACCCAGTTCCCAGGCTGGAGTACCACATCTTATCGTCTGTCCCCGATTACTTTATTCAGTGTAGTCGCAACTACCCTCCACACCTGGAAGCAGCTTCCTATTTGACCTTGCATAATGAGGTAGTTTATGATACGTACGTGTCACGCAGGAGGCCTGTTATGGAAGGCAAGGAGGTTGCGACGCGCCGGTCATGTAGGTCTGATGCGGAGATAAGAAATCAATGCAGTTTTGTGGGTGGAAATCTCTTGGAAAGCGACCACGTGGAAGGACTTTAAATGGGGGTAACATGAGGATAGAGGAAGGGAATTGCATTGTGGCAGTGGGAGGTGAATCCAGTTGGCTCAGGATCTTGTTTACTGGCCATCTACGGTATTGTCGATGTTGTATGTTCGGTTCTGCTGCCGGACACTACATTGTGCTAACTGAAGTTAATTTGGAAAGAGGTCTTTTATTTGTAGTGCAGTTGGGCCGTGAGATATTGACCTACGAACATTGCTCTGGAGTAGTGGTTCTCAACCTTTGTCTGACCGCGCCCAAGTAAAATTTTTTTTTATAAGATGAGAGCCTGGTACCGGTCCGCGGCCCAGCGGTTGAGAAACGTTTCTCTAGAGTACGCCATTAGGAAGGTTCAAGAAAACCAGGACGAATTGACGTTCAGTGGGACACATGAGCTTTTTGTCTGTGCTAATGATGTCATTGTAACCGGTCACGGTAGCCGAGCGGTCTAAGGCATGTATTGTCTTCGCTCGCTTGGGAACCAGGATCGTGGGTTCGAATCCCACTCAGGGCATGGATGTTTAGTTTGTGTGTGTCCGTTTTTCTGTGTTTGTGTACAGGTAGAGGCCTTGCGACCAGCTGATCACCCGTCCAAGGAGTCCTACCGAATGTGTAAGATCTAGAAAAACCGAAGTGAACGGAGAAGTTCATGGAGGTAGGCCTAGGCCCACTAGGGCTGTAGTGCCAAGGAAAAAAATTGTCATTGTACTGAAGGAAAACAAATACTATAAATGAAAACAAAATCGGTAGTAGACGCTGGTATGGAGGTTGATCTTGAAGTAAACGTAAGGAAAACCAAGAATACGTTGATGTGTCGTTGCCAGAATGCAGAACAAAATCATAACATAAAGACATAGATCCTTTGAGAATGTGGCAAAGTTAAAAATATTTGAGGACGACACTAACAAACCAAAATTGCATAAGTTACTAATTAACTCATGGAGTCGAGTCATTCTTGACAAGCGAATAGTCACTCAGCTGCTCAAGAATTTCCGAAAATGTTATGGAGCCCAAAGGTTCATTAATGTGTTTAAAAGAGGGGGGGGGAGTAACAGGAGGCCTCGGAAATCTGCACAGTAAGGTGCTTCATAAATTGTACTCCTCACAAAACATTATTAGAATAATCATGAGGCTGAAATGGCAGGAAATTCTCACGCATGGGAAAAGGAGAATTTTTTCTCTCTCCTTTATTGACAATCAGATTGTACAATCTGTAAGTCAATGTGCTAACTGGTGTACAATTTAGTAACTATTTATTGTACACTCTTCTGGCGTGTGCGGAATAAACATCCAGTGATGTTTTCCTCAGTTCGTTAGATTTGATGGCCAACTTCTTTTGGGTCTTCGATTTTCATGAGGTTGTAGTAAAAAAGGAGAAATGCATGTAAAGTTTTGGCAACGTAACTCGAAGGCAGGCGACTACTAGGAAGACCTAAACGTAGACAGGACGATACTATTAAAATGGATTTTAAAGAAATAGAATTGGATTGTTTGTACTGAATTCATTTGTTTCAAGTTAGGGATCGGTGGTGGACCGTTGTGAAGCTTCTGATTTCGTAAACTGCTCGAGATTTCTTGAGTAGGTGAGCAATTGCTGGCTTGTCAACGACTGAGCTCCACAGAGTTACCTAGTTAGTTTTCATATAGCCGAAACAACTTCCGATTTCCAAAATACGTCTCATCTTAACAAAAATTATATGTGACATGAAACGTGGACGTCATTAATATCTTTCTATAACTTGTACTTGAAACAATGGGCGTTATTAAAAAAAGGTAAAGTTGTCCCTGTGCTTAGTTAAGCACTACGCCATGAAGACATATGGGGGAGTGGATGTATAGATCCATATTTTCTTGACCTCTGCGCTAGTTGGAGGTGAGTGGTGAGCTTCACGCCCTGGCCGCTTTACCCCCGGGAAAGAGCCCGGGGTACCCATTGGAGAGGAGGTTGGGTGGGCCCCAAGAGCAGGTCTGGACGGCGTGTAGAAGTGAATATTCTTGACCCAACGGACTACGCTATCACTGCTCCCAATGAGCGTTATTAGGAGTTTGTAATGAAATACAAGTCAGATTTGAGGCTATGTGCAGTGTACCCATAGTGCGGTACGATAGCAACATTATATTATATGTGCAATAAATGAACATCTAAACCAACGACGTGTGCAAGGTAGCATTTTTAAAATCTTTGTTCTCCATTGGAGCGCACCTGTCGACTGTTGTAATGCTTTATTTTATTTGAGTCGGTTTTCAAGGTATCTACAAACTTCTATAAATTCATCACGCCGTAAACGAAAGGGTTTTAAAGGACATTTTATTGATTATTGTATGATAAATTTCACTTTGATGTGTTATAGCGGAGAATTTATGGAGTAGCTAAATGTAGACAGCTGAGGGGAGTGGGTTAGGGCAGGTGAATTACAGACATGTTTCTTTTTTAGAACCAGTTAACTCGAAGAAGTCGACGGGTTACTTTACACTATACAAGTTTATAACAGTTACGTACGTAATTGCAAGAATATATTTTGAACAAACTTAACAGTACTAGAACAGTTTATATCAGTATTAACTGAAACAGTAGGCAATTATTAAAGTTTTTGTTTAAGTTATCAGAGTATTTAGTTCAAGAAGACACCGACAGAGAGACTAGGGGAATGTAAGCAGTTCCTGAATTGACCATAGGAGCCCAAAATCATAGTTATCTAACACACTGTTTCTATTGAAATTGCTGACTCCATATCTTGTATATTTCCGTTGGTAAAAAACGAAGTTACTGAGAGTGCCCGTAGTCTGTTCCGGAATTCCTCATTCATTATGGCGAATCGTTTTATTGCGTCTGTTTCCGTTGACCTTTGGCACTTCATAGTGATCGCATGATATTGCCAAGTAGCGAAACAGAAATGGTCATTAATAACTTTTTGGATAGTTGTGTCTTTTGGGATATAACGCCGTATAGTCTGTTGAAAGTCAGCCGACGTTTCGGGGAAGCATGCCGCCTCCGTATTCAAGGTAGAATAAGCCAGGCAAGAAACTAGCGTGTAGCAGGTAGCAGACAATCTTTGCTTGCCACTTGCTTCGTGCTGGTTTCTTTCTGGAACGTTGGTACTTGTCTACCAAAGTACAGTGATCGTCAACTTTACTAAACCTTTGGCGTTAAGAATGTAACTCGTCGAACTGTTTCGGTATGCCTGTGACTTGTGTTGGTAGGCCATCTGCGATTCGATCTGTAGTTGCGTTTCGGGAAATCATCTAAACTACCCGTAAGTCGAACTTTTTCACCCGTGGATTCATTGTTATCGATGGGGCGTCATTCCTGAGCAGACTTCTTTAAGTGGCAAACCCGGCCATTATATTTTTCTTGTTACTTTGAAGTTGTGGCATTATATTAACACGGTTAAACACAATCAGTTTGCGTTAGAAATATTATTTATTGTAATATTGTTACTTCCCCCCAAAGCCTCTGAATATTTAATATATGTATTTTAAGGGGATTACATGTATGTGGAACGGAGAAGTTCGTGGAGGTAGGCCTAGGCCCACTGGGGCTGTAGTGCCAAGGAATGAAGAAAGAAGCATGTATGTGGAAGTTAATTGGTTGAGGTTTCGGCGTAGGGTATCGTGGTGTGAAGGGAAAAAGGAGGAACCGCCACTAATTCATTTCCACCCCCACCTCTGATCGTTATTTTGAATCATCGTAGTGAGAGAAACAGCAAACCTGAATCCGTAAACACAATTTCACGTGAACCCAATGGGCATTTTCAGGAAACTTCGTCACAGTTAACAAACAAAATTCGCAGACTTAAAACGGCGTTTGGTGTTTGCAAGTCTCGAAACAGTTTTGCTTACATCATTGCATAATTGTCGCGATATGAACACAGGAGCAGCATAAATTATTCTCATTTAGCCAGAGTCAAAAAATGAGGTTGTAAAATGTGCCGCTCCAGACGGTCTCTTAGCCTGTGCTGTCGCTCCTTGTAATGAAGCATACCTGTGTCCGAAACATAACGTACAGTGTCTCCTATGCTTGTGAGGTACAGNAACCCATCCCCTTGTCTGAAATTTTTCTTCTGTGCATTCAAGGTTACTCTTGGCCTTGTTCGAAGTTACGTGACACTTGCTATAAACTTCGGGATCAGAATTTACAGTTGGATGTAGTGTTTGACAGTTGTTTATGCTGTGTGAAAAGCTGACTGTTAACTTTTGTTTGTTACAGAGTTTGACGAAGCATGCGAGCAAGAATAACATTAAGAACGTGAACTCCTTGACGTTAGGTGACGAAAAGCCGAAAATTGATACGGGGCAGAAGATTAATAGTAACCACCACATTGGTTCCAATCCCGCACAGGTAAGTCATAACAAATATTCCGTTTTCATCTGAACAAGAGTGAACCTCAAAACCTCAATTCAGCAAACCTGGACTTTGAATAGAACTATAAATGAAGGGCGATATGCCAGGTTTGTTTCAGTTATGTCACCAGCTTATTTACCTTGTTACAAGTGGCCGCGCCATAGCTCAAGCGGTTAGTCGCCGGCTTCCCATCGCGGCGGTCCGGGTTCGATCCCGGGTCTGGTCAAGTGGGATTTGTGGTGGACAAAGTGACGCTGGGCAAAGTTTTCTCCGAGTACTTCGGTTTCCCCTGCCAATCTTCATTCCACCAATTGCTCCACAATCACCCTCACCTGTCATCTGGGGCTGGTACAATAGGCCAGAAGTGGCCGCGGTACAAGGGACTTGGTCCCACCCCACTAGAAAATAAATAATAATAATACCTTGTTACAAAATATCTTGTGCCTATGTATGTATGTTTGTGGGGGTTACCATAGCAACGGTTTTTTAACGTTAACGTACACGAGGCAGTGCTGTAATACATTAGCAACATAGGCTACCATTCTAAAGTAGGCCTGGATTGTGGTTTACTACGATAAAACCATATTCTCTTTTCATACACTGTTTATATTCTGAGATGATATTGGGACGTGTGAAGTGAAGTTTAGAAATATCTGGAAGATTCTTTTCTCGGGCACACAGGAGCTTTGTCTTCAGGCCAGTTCAGTAGTATAGTGTCTCAGCGCTGAAAGCTGAAAGCAAAACGTAATTTCTTACACATTTCCGAAACCATTGAATTACTCGTGTTTTTTTAATGTTTACCAAAGCGTCTGCAGATTTTATATAGTCCACGTACCCAGTTGGTCATTTTATATGTACGTATTACGACTCCAGTGTCGCGACTGCTTGAATTAACAGCTCTGTGAAGTTCATACGATATATCAAAAATTCATTCGTATACGAGCTAAATGGCTCCTGTTTATTTCATACGTATGCAACAGCCATAGATACTGTCACGTGTAAGAGTCGCTGTTGACGGGGTTTTGCATTGGAGATCGGATTTATTGCCCCAAGACTATCGCCAGTTTCCACACTTTACAAATCACTAGAGTACACGCTAAGTCTTAAGTCTGCTTTCACAAGTCGTTTCCCGGCAACGGATCTTAACTGCACCGACCAAGTTTTCTTCCTTACAACTGACAACTTACTTCTAAACTTGTCCCATTGATAACCCATTGGCACGGACCTCGTAGAAAGGACCGTGTATTGTACTCCAACCGTTTCTGTGGAAACGTGTTTGTTTGCAAAGACATTACTCGGCAACAGGTGTGTATACTTATTAAGAATCTGTTACCTAGCAGCGGATGTTGTTTCGAGGTCGTTACGCAGTAACGGGTCTCCGCTCTACAATATTTCCGATCGTGGTGTATTTGTTNATATAGTCCACGTACCCAGTTGGTCATTTTATATGTACGTATTACGACTCCAGTGTCGCGACTGCTTGAATTAACAGCTCTGTGAAGTTCATACGATATATCAAAAATTCATTCGTATACGAGCTAAATGGCTCCTGTTTATTTCATACGTATGCAACAGCCATAGATACTGTCACGTGTAAGAGTCGCTGTTGACGGGGTTTTGCATTGGAGATCGGATTTATTGCCCCAAGACTATCGCCAGTTTCCACACTTTACAAATCACTAGAGTACATGCTAAGTCTTAAGTCTGCTTTCACAAGTCGTTTCCCGGCAACGGATCTTAACTGCACCGACCAAGTTTTCTTCCTTACAACTGACAACTTACTTCTAAACTTGTCCCATTGATAACCCATTGGCACGGACCTCGTAGAAAGGACCGTGTGTTGTACTCCAACCGTTTCTGTGGAAACGTGTTTGTTTGCAAAGACATTACTCGGCAACAGGTGTGTATACTTATTAAGAATCTGTTACCTAGCAGCGGATGTTGTTTCGAGGTCGTTACGCAGTAACGGGTCTCCGCTCTACAATATTTCCGATCGTGGTGTATGCGCTTTGTTATATATATTAGCTGAGGTGGCTAATAGTCGGGTTCCCACTACGGCGGCCAGTATTCGATTCCAGTTTGGGTCATGTGGGATTTGTGGTGGACAGAGTGGAACTAGAGTGGGTTTTCTCGAAGTTCTTCAGTTTCTTCTGCCAGTTTTCATTCCATTTCATATTCATTGAAGCCGACGGTATGCAGGTGTCTCATTATTACATGCCATATTTTACGGTATTGTTTCTAGACATCAGAATAAGGAAGGAAGTTCATATGAATATGTACTCTGAGAGTAAAAGAAAACCTCCGTGGTTTTAGTCCGCAAGCGAACTATACCGACCGAGCGACCGCCGTTTTTCGGCGAAGTTAGTGCCAACTTTAACGGACAGAGGGTGTCGCGTGGTCAGCGCAACGGATCCCCACAGACGTTAATCTCGGTTCTCTAGACCGGAGCCGCTATTTCCTTGAAATAGCTCCTCACTTATCCTCACGAGGCTGAGTGAACCCCGTTCCAGACCCACTACTTCTCAGAAAATCTGGTAGCGCCGGGAATCGAACCAGGACCCATGGATCTGTAGCCAGGAACTGTTTCCACGAGACCACAGAGGCAGTCATGTACTCTGAGCGCCTTCCTTTAAAAGTTATAACCATTAGAAAATGCCTGCTCCTAGCGTCACATGTCGAAAAAACAGACCATCGGCAACACAGTTTTCCATCAACCTGTGGGCGGGTACTTCAGATGACTGCCTCATAGCCCCAGATTTTACCGGCACGAGCTAGAGGCCGTGATTAGTTTAATTTTCTTTCAACACACGATTACTGGAAGATGTAGCCTTCAGTACGCATCTCAACATGTGGTTTGAGAAGCTGTGCTCCAACACATTACTGTCGTGGGGTTCGTCAGTGGCTGTCCGAAAATCATCCTGGACGTAAAGCTTCAGTTTCCTGGCCTGCACAGTCACCTGACTTCAGTCCTCTCGATTTATTTATTTTTTTCGTGCATGGTTATTTGAAAGCCAGGGTCTGTACCAGTACAGTCGATGCTAGGGAGGAACTGTGGCGTCGAATTAAACAGTTTGCAAGTGAAATAAAGAGTACACCGGGAATCTGTTCTGCTTGTGAGTTTATTTTTCACGCATAGCCGAGTTGTGAGTTCGTGAACATGGAGACAGTTTCGAGCACCTCCTGCAAGGAAGTGAAAATAAAGAGGTTATTAATAGCCCGATTTTTTTTTGTTGTTTTCATAATCACAACCCGTTATATTTATGAAGTATTTTGGCGGGGCCCTGGAAGTTTAAAGTAGAATAGCTGCAACTTCTTAAGGAAAGCCCTCAGGGTATACATACATATGAACTTATTTACTTATTTTGATGTCCAAAATCCATTGTGTAAAGTATGACGTGTATTGATGAGACATCTACATAGTCTTGATACGCACAGCTCCATTAAATAAGCGACTTAAAATAATATTACTACGAAATAAAGATGAGTGCATTTGATATAGCTGAACACCAGTGAGGAATATGTGTCTTGTTCATCTTCGCGACATATGGTAAGAACGAATTTCTTAAGGTCTAGAGGTAAGGTAAAGGCGATGTTGGCCCTGTGCTTAAATAATTAAGCACTACTCCATGAAGACGTATGGAAGAGTGGATGTATAGAGCCACATTTTCTTGACCTTGGCACTAGCTGGAGGTTAATGGTCAGCTTCACGTCCCGGCCGCTTTACCCCCGGGGAGGGGTCCCCTGGTTCCCATTGGATAGGTCGGGTGGACTCTAGAGCCGGTCTGGACGACGTGAAGAAGAGAAAATTCTTGATCCTACCAGGACTGGAACTCTGACCCCTCGGTCGTCCAGCCCGTAGGCAGTCGTTATACAGACTACGGTACTCCGGCTGAAGGTAGAGAGCATAAACTCCGTCCGTTCGTCAGAATAGTTTCATTCTGAGTTATATTTTAGATTTAGTTGTAGTTTTCTGGAATTGTATATAACAAATGTGAAACGTAGAAACAGTACTTAAATTTCCAGTTTAATTCAACTGGCTTTTGTATTAAGACGGTTGAAATTGAATCCTTATATACGGGGTATTATTTTTCGGTCATGTAACACTAAAAAATTTTTGTAATCTCATTCTTATTGAACGCAGTTGTATGAAACTTTCACATGTGTGAAATTTGTTTGTTGCCATTGACGGCATTGAACTGAGTAACAGTATGGTGTCGTATGCGACTGATCAGAAAGTGAGTGTTATGAAAACATTTTGTTCTTCTGGTGGGCCCTACATTGTGTCGAGACAGTGCCGTTGATAGTTTTCTGTTCGTGTGGCACATCGGGAGACACTATCTACCAAAACAGAAAAAAATAACTCCATGGTTTTAGTCCGCAAGCCAACTATACCGACCGAGCGATCGCCGCTTGTCTGCGAAGTTGGTGCCAGCTTTAGCGGATAGAGGGTGTCGCGTGGTCAGCGCAACGAATCTGCACGGCCATTCATTTCGGTTTTCTAGACCAGAGCCGCTGCTTCTCCATTCAAGTAGCTCCTCATTTATCCTCACGAGGCTGAGTGGACTCCGTTCCAGACCCACTGCTTCTCAGAAAATCTGGTAGTGCCGGGAATAGAACCCGGGACCTCTGAATCCGTAGCCAGGAACTCTGACCACTAGACCACAGAGGTGGCCATTGACAATATCTGGTAGCCACTATGTACCAGATTGTTAAACAATTATGCGTAATAAACTTGCGAATGAACTTAAACGACACGCACCTGTTCGTTCGGTAAAAGTTGCGTGTTCAGTACGGGAGACAGTAATAAGTCCTACAGGAAGTGTACGGCGTTTTGCACAAAAGATTGAAGTCTCATCCAGCACTGCATGGAATATCTGTCACAATGGCTTGTTCCTGTACACAGTGCAGCTGAGTCGGCGAGACATTACGCTTTACGAGGGAGTATGGAGTGTTCTTGAGGACAGTCGGATTGTCTGCGATGTCACGTGGTTCTTCGA